ACTACTTGAGTAAAAGTCTAGAAGTATTTGGTTCTAAATATACTTAAGTATCAAAAGTAAATGCAATTGCTAAAATCTACTTAAGTATCAAAAGTAAAACTACAAATCCTTTCAAATTCCTTATATTAGGCAAAGCAGACGGCACCATTTTCTTGTTTTAAAAATGTACATATAGCCAGGGGCACACTCCAACACTCCAACACTCCAACACTCAAACATCATTTACAAATGATGTATTTATGTTTACTGAGTCCGCCAGATCAGAGGCAGTAGGGACAACCACGTGTTCTTTATTTTTATTTGATTTATTTCACCTTTATTTAACCAGGTAAGCCAGTTGAGAACAAGTTCTCATTAACAACTGCGACCTGGCCAAGATAAAGCAAAGCAGTGCGATAAAAACAACAACACAGAGTTACATATGGGTTAAAACAAAACATAAAGTCAAAAATACAACAGAAAATCTATATACAGTGTGTGCAAATGTAGTAAGTTATGGAGGTAAGGCAATAAATAGGCCATAGTGCAAAATAATTACAATTAGTATTAACACTGGAATGATAGATGTGCAAGAGATGACGTGCAAATAGAGATACTGGGGTGCAAATGAGCAAAATAAATAACAATATGGGGATGAGGTAGTTGGGTGGGCTAATTTCAGATGGGCTGTGTACAGGTGCAGTGATCGGTAAGGTGCTCTGACAACTGATGCTTAAAGTTAGTGAGATAAGTCTCCCCAGCTTTAGAGATTTTTGCAGTTCGTTCCAGTCATTGGCAGCAGAGAACTGGAAGAAATGGCGGCCAAAGGAGGTGTTGGCTTTGGGGATGACCAGTGAGATATACCTGCTGGAGCACATACTACGGGTGGGTGTTGCTATGGTGACCAATGAGCTAAGATAAGGTGGGGATTTGCCTAGCAGTGATTTATAGATGGCCTGGAGCCAGTGGGTTTGGCGACTAATATGTAGTGAGGACCAGCCAACAAGAGCGTACAGGTCACAGTGGTGGGTAGTATATGGGGCTTTGGTGACAAAACGGATGGCACTGTGATAGACTACATCCAATTTACCTAGGTATTTGTAGTTGTCCACATACTCTAGGTCAGACCCGTCAAGAGTAGTGATTCTAGTCGGGTGGGCGGGTGCCAGCAGCGTTCGATTGAATAGCATGCATTTAGTTTTACTTGTGTTTAAGAGCAGTTGGAGGCTACGGAAGGAGTGTTGTATTGCGTTGAAGCTCGTTTGGAGGTTTGTTAACACAGTGTCCAATAAAGGGCCAGATGTATACAAAAGGGTGTCGTCTGCGTAGAGGTGGATCTGAGAATCACCAGCAGCAAGAGCGACATCATTGATATACACAGAGAAAAGAGTCGGCCCAAGAATTGAACCCTGTGGCACCCCCATAGAGACTGCCATAGGTCCAGAAAACAGGCCCTCCGATTTGACACATTGAACTCTATCTGAGAAGTAGTTGGTGAACCAGGCGAGGCAGTCATTTGAGAAACCAAGGCTATTTAGTCTGCCAATAAGAATGCGGTGGTTGACAGAGTCGAAAGCCTTGGCCAGGTCGATGAAGACGGCTGGACAGTACTGTCTATTATTATAATATCGTTCTTGTCACACCCTGGCTATGGGACTCTAGTTGTTGAGCCAGGGTGTGTTTGTTCTATGTGGTGTATTTCTATGTTGGGGGTTCTAGTTCGTCTATTTCTATGTTTTGCCTGAGTGACTCCCAATCAGAGGCAACGAGTGTCAGCTGTTGGCTGGTTGTCTCTGATTGGGAGCCATATTTAAACTGTCTGTGTTTCACTTTGTGTTTGTGGGTTTTTGTTCCGTGTCGGTCATTGTTACCGTGGACTTCACGAGTCGTTTATTGTTTTGTTGTTTCGTGTGTGCACTTTATTAAATAAAGTAACATGTTCGTTCATCACGCTGCGCATTGGTCTCTCCCTGACGATCGTGACAGTTCTCTTGATAAGTACATGAATTGGACCATTTTCCTGTCCTGCTAAGCATTCAAAATGTAATGAGTACTTTTGGGTGTCAGGGAAAATGTATTGAGTAAAAAGTACATGATTTTCTTTAGGAATGTAGTGAAGTAAAAGTAAAAGTTGTCAAAAACATTTGTAAAGTAAAGTACAGATACCCTAAAAAACTACTTAAGTAGTACTTTGAAGTATTTTTACTTAAGTACTTTACACCACTGGTTTTGTCACATAAACTGAAATTAAGCGAACTATTAGAATTTTAGCAACCAGGATTTCTGCATAGTGCACCTTTCAATGAGTATTTGCAGTGTTATGTTTATAGTCTATGGGTCAGAGAATGAATGTGATGTTCTAGAAGGAATGGGTGACCCATGTTAAGCTAACAGTCCAAGTGGTGGGCTACCAGGCAACAGGCATCTCCATGGAGCCACACATACAAACATTGACAAACACACACACACACACACAAACATTGACGCGCAGACACACACACACACAGTCCCCTATAAGTAAAAGTCAAGGGATGTGAACAAAAATGTGTTATTGTGGAAGGCAGTAAATGTAGAGGAAAAACCCCCAGAGTCACTCTACAGGGGGCTTGAAACAGACCAAACATTAAACATCCAACTCAGTGTGTGCGTGCCCAACATACAGGGGTTCAAAATGAAATGAACGTCCGTTCAACTAATCCAGTATTACACCACAGTCACTTATTAGCCAGGATTTGATCAACATAGAAAGGAAACATGGTTGAAAGGTGAGCTCTGTTTCTGACAGGGAAAGGATTACGCTATCCTGTGGTGCCCAGGTAGCTTAGTGGTTAAGAGCGTTGTGCCAGTAACCGAAAGGTCGCTGGTTCTAATCCCCGAGCCGACTAGGTGAAAAATCTTGCTGCTGGTCGATGTCCCCTTGAGCAAGGCACTTAACCCTAATTGCTCATGTAAGTCGCTCTGGATAAGCGCGTCTGCTAAATGACTAAAATGTAAAAATGTATGTGACTGAGTGCAAGTAGACGCTGGAATTACTTAGAAAGCATGACTCACTTAAGAGGCTTGCGTGAGGAAGAGAGAGAAGTACTGTGCAGGCTAGCACATAGGCAGTCTAGCACAGGGTGGGTAGTGGTAAACATCAGTCACTGTGGTAATGTTTCTCTTCTGTAGTGTCAAGGTCTTTGGCCTCAGAAGTGGACTGGGACCAGAAATCGTCCCTGGCACCAGAAATCGGCCCATATTTTTACTTGAGGCCCCCAATACCGGCCCATTCCTTTCCCCGAGGCCCCCATGCTAGGCTTGGGCGATATACCGTTTATACCGTATACCGGGGTTTACAGTTTACATAATCAGCCAAACAGGAAGTTAACTGGAAGTGATGTCATAAAAGGTGGGCTGGTGCTATACCACCGCTTATAACTACAAGTTAAGTATAACTGTAAAAAAAAACTAAGATGTGTCAAATTAATTATATCAAGCTTAGGGCTCCAGCTATGCATTTGGTTTGCTATCTAAGTGGCCAGATGTCAAGATCAAGCTTCTTGGTTACAGCAGAGCCATTCAATCCCCTCCTGGACCAAGATCCCTTTTGCCTAAATTGTTTTGTGCGTACACGGTATGGTACAGAAATGGTATGAAAATCTGGATACTGTCCAACCCTACCCCACACCAGCCCATTTGTCCCTTGAGGCCCCCATTATTAGCCAGATAATTATAATATTGCGCAAAAAACCCAAGTCAGACAGGCCCAGTGGGCTAAAAATGGACCAGCCCATGTGCCATTTGCCCGTTGTGCCAGATGGCCAGTACGCCCCTGTTTGGCATCCTTCATCATCATATACTGTACATTATGGCCTCTGAGCCATCACCATCGATGATCGAAATGATTGTGAAAATGTCAGATATATGCTACTGGTCACGATCTTGAACACAGAAACATAACTAGGTATATGTGAAGGATGAAACCTGTTTAGGGTACATTTCAAAGGAGAAAGGCTGAATGAGGGTCTGTGTCAAGGCTTATGGTCTTACTATAGTACCTGGTGAAGGCGGTAGAGTTGACTTGACTCTAGAGTTTACAGTATCAGCCAAACAGGAAGTTAACAGGAAGTGAGTCGCCTGGAGGGCGACTCATAGATCAGGTGTCAGAGCAGAATGACCCGGTTCAACCGGAAATTCCACTAAGAACCTTGTGCGTCTGATCTCACTGTATGACAGGGTGTCAAACCAGAACGATCCGGTTCCACTAAGAACCTTGTTCGTCTGATCTCACTGTATGACAGGGTGTCAAACCAGAACGATCCGGTTCCACTAAGAACCTTGTTGGTCTGATGTCACTGTATGACAGGGTGTCAAAGCAGTTCATGATGGGTATATGTTTTGGAGAATATTTCCATCAAGTGGAGGTGTGACACAATTGAGTGGATTGTCAAACTATGTTGGGAATCTGGTTCTGCACCATAGATGCAGTGACATGAAATGTTCTGTTATATGATATTTGTGAAGTTATGTACCTATTTCTTTTAGATACTTTGTGAATACAGTGATGGATCAATATCCAGAAGTATGAAACAATGTGATGTATGACAATTGATTTAATTTGAGATGTTAAATTGTACAATTTGAGGCGTATAGTGTGCAGGCCCATTGGAGAGGTCAATATCCAGATTGACCAGTATGATAACAATAAATAAAGGTGTCAGTCTCAATCTCAGGTTGACAGAAATCCCTTTCATCTCACTACTATACAAATCATGGACATGTTTAGGTTTGACAGTTTTACGGGATGTCCTGTTGGACCAGAGACCACGTGCTCACACTGCCACACCATCATAACAACAACAGCTTGCATTTGCACAGCATGCCCCCTCCCTCCTCTCCTCTTTCTGGTGGGCCTATTGTTTCCTATGTTAATGCCTTGACATGGCATGAAATCCAGCGGATACGCCCTACGACCCCACATCTCCATAATAACATGCTGTCGACCTCGTTTTTCAGGACAAAAACAAGACCAGGACCTACCTCGTGTAGAAAGGAGATATGGGTCTGCTGTCTTCCTCTTGGGAGCTGAAATGCAAGAACAAACAAACAACAAAAACAGTTAGGTTAGCCACTGTTGGGTGAGAGTGATGCAATATTACATATGAACGCATAGTTCTATTTTCTCCCTCACTCTGCGCCTCAGTGTTTCTTTAGGGGACAGAATGTCCTTTTGTCTCTGGAACAATAGCCACCTAATGTTCCAGTCAGTTCAGTACTTTTAGTTAAAGCTTGTCTCTGGGAATTATTAAAGTGACAGTTGAAGGCCGTGTGTGCCCTCCTCTGGTATAGCTCTGGCGGGGCCTGGGCCAATAGTTACACATGACCGAAATGATGACACAATAACGGGAACTTCTTAATGTGGAGATTGCTTAACACGTACATATCCTGACAGAGACTTTAACCTGCTGAGGGCCTTACTACCCTAAACATCATGTAGCGTACAGTAGCATGTGTGTGATTAACGTAGTGTGTAAAATTGCTGCAAAAAGGCCAAAATATCGCCACGGAAAGGTTTACCACAGTGTTCATAAGGAAGCCACCAGCGTCATTTTCCCATAACCGTGGGATACAGTACATGGAAGTTGGCAATCGTGACAATAAACAACAGCTAATACTGTCTAATCATGGGTTGTAAATACTGTTAGACACTTTTGAAATAAACAATAGACTCTCTAATACACACAAGACTGAATTGTTGTTAAATGGGCCATTGAGAAGATATTTGGACTCTGAGTTTTTGGGTACGTGCAGTAGCTCAAGTGATCTTACGGTAAGGAGGGTGTGAGGGGGTCACTGTCTAGGGCAGGGAGGGGAAAACACACCACTGGTTTAGCAGCCCGGGGTGTAAAGGCCTAACACCGTACTGAGTCCAAACAGAGGATTTAGGTTTCAGTTTGTCAGGAACCGAAATGGGCCGAAGTTCATTCAACTTCAAAAGCTTGCCATATCACATGACCTGGCCTCTATCTTGAAGAATTCTGAATGAGTGTGTATGTAAGAATTGTTTTGCATGTGTGTGTTTCCCCCCCCCCCCCCCTCTAATACAACCTACGTACATAGTCTATGAAATCCCTCTTCCGGATCAAGGTACCAAGCACACCTCACAACGGCATTTCACAACGTTTACGTATTGCTGGTGGATGCCAGCCGAGAAATGTTTCCCTATACTTAGACCGTGTTAAACAGTCTGGCAAGCGTATTAAAATAATGTGTGCTGTCACGAATTGTTGCAAACGGAAATCCTGCTTACCCACTACCTTACTTAAGGAATAACAAGTGGCTTTGTTGAGGAGACTTGATCCTCGCAGAGGTGATGGAAAATTACCAAACAACTTGGCCAGGCTGGCAACCCTCCACCATTTTGTAGACAAATAAATAATATTTATTTAATTCAACTCAACACATTTTTACCATAGTGCGTTATTGTTTAAATAATGGTTTCTCAATAGCCTATACCTGCTTGAATGAAGGTATAAGGACAATTTGTTTGACACATTGGTCATATTCAAGCTCACAGAATTCATTTCAGGTTCATAGCATTGCATTATCCTATGGAGGTGACTCCTAGCCTGGAATCTAAACTTTGGTTGAAACTGAGAAATATTCAGTTTGGGTTCCAGTCCAGGTGACTCCATGTCCAATAGGAGGATCTTGCTGGAGTATAGGTTCTCCTGATTGGAGGTCAGTGTTCCAGCCCCCCTCCCCCTTCTCCTCTGTGTCCACCAGGCCTCTTCCACACTGCTTTAATAAGGAGGATCAATCATAGCCTGCTTCATGGTCCATTCTTAGAATATTTGGAGAATAGAGCCTGCAGTGTACCGAACCTGAAAGGCTTGGGCCGGTTAAGCCTACTTGAGCCCCTCTTGGTATACACTCTCATAACCCAAGTTACAGACGGTACATTCCACCATAGACAAAGGTGTTAGGGGAAGGCTACCATAAAGCCACCACGCTTCAGAGATTATGACATTTTTGCCAAAGGGTCAATGGGGGAACATGCAGGAACTGTGGAGAGAAAAGTAGCCAATTGTGAATGAGCAATATGGTTGGTCCACACACAGTGGAGTAGGAAGCTTTCCTTCTCAACCAGTAAAACAGTTTTCGATAAGCAATGCATTTCTAGCATAATTCTAGCGTAATAAAAGGTTTAACCCCATTGACCTGTAGTTGTACTGTGGTTGACCAGTGTCAGCTCTTTACGTTGACATTATGGCCATAAACCAACAGGTCAATGGGGTTAAACCACCATGGCAGCGTGAACATGGCGACTTCCTCCTACACTGAACTAGAATATAAATACAACATGCAACAATTTGAAAGATTTTACTGAGTCACAGTTGATATAAGGAAATCAGTCAATTGAAATAAATTCATTAGGCCCTAATCTATGGATTTCACATGAAAGGAATACAGCTATGCATCTGTTGGTCAGAGATACCTTAAAAAAAAGGTAAGTGCTTGGATCAGAAAACCAGTCAGTATCTGGTGTGACCACCATTTGCCTCATGAAGCGCGACACATCTCCTTCGCATAGAGTTGATCAGGCTGTTGATTGTGGCCTGTGGAATGTTGTCCCACTCCTCTTCAACGGCTGTGCGAAGTTGCTGGATATTGGTGGGACATTTTCAGCTTTCAGGAATTGTGTACAGATCATTGCGATATGGTGCCGTGCATTATCATGCTGAAACATGAATGGCATGACAATGGGCCTCAAGATCTCGTCACAGTATCTCTGTGCATTCAAATTCCCATCTATAAAATGCAATTGTGTTTTTTGTCCGTAGCTTATGTCTGCCCAATCCATTACCCCGCCACCATGAGGCACTCTGTTCACAACGTTGACATCAGCAAACCGCTCAGCCACATGAAGCCATACACGCTGTCTGCCATCTGCCCGGTACAGTTGAAACCGGGACTAATCTGTGAAGAGAACACTTCTCCAGCGTGCCAATGACCATCGAAGGTGAGCATTTGCCCACTGAAGTCGGTTACGAGCCGAACTGCAGTCAGGTCAAGAACCTGGTGAGGACGACGAGCACGCAGATGAGCTTCCCTGAGACGGTTTCTGACAGTTTGTGCAGAAATTCTTCGGTTGTGCAAACCCACAGTTTGATCAGCTGTCCGGGTGGCTGGTCTCAGACGACCCCACAGGTGAAGAAGCCGGATGTGGCGGTCCTGGGCTAGCCGTGGATACACGTGGTCTGCGGTTGTGAGTCTGTTTGGACGTACTGCCAAATTCTCTAAAATGACGTTGGAGGCGGCTTATGGTAGAGAAATGAACATTCAATTCTCTGGCAACAGCTCTGGTGGACATTTCTGCAGTCAACATGCAAATTGTTGATATGCCACACCTGTCAGGTGGATTATCTTGGCAAAGGAGAAATGCTCACTAACAGGGATGTAAACAAATTTGTGCACAAAATCTGAGAGAAATAAGCTTTTTGTGCATATGACAAATTTCTGGGATCTTTCATTTCAGCTCATGAAACATTGGACCAACACTTTCCATGTTGCGTTTATATTTTTGTTCAGTGTACATATCTATTAGTCAACACCAAAACACCAGCTGATAGGCCACTTATAATGGCAGAAAATGTCTGTCACATCTACAGATGGGCCTTTTGAGATCGAAGGGTCAATGACAGACTTGGTAGTCAAACATGTCAGAAACCATGGCAACTAACGTCTTCTTGACTAGTGCCATTGCAGTATCATCTCTTCCTATCCGTTCAAGCCAATTTTCCGAACCCCCCCTCCTCACCTATTGTCCAGTTCAGGAGCCAATAACATTCAAGCCAAGTCTCTGACCCTCCTTTCCTATTGGCCGCTCAGGAGTCAATGACACCTGTTTGCCAAGTTGGATCAAAATTGATATCCTCTCTCTCTCTTTCTGCAGATGGGAATCATTTTAGACATATCCTATAGGTTAGAGTTGGTGATGACTGGTCTGGGCCAGCTACTAGGGTTTTCCCACCTTAAATCCAAGCAGACGTGTTGGATCCGACTGATGGTTGGCCAACAATAACCTCCCCAGAGTGTCTGACACTCACACCACACCGTTACGTTCCTCACCCAACACACACACACACCCACACACATCCCAACCCGCTTTCAATGGGTTTCTTTCTAAGAAAGACAACGGGTTATGTCACAAAAGTAAGTGAACCATGGCAACTACATACAACAACCATTATGTGCATGTAGCCTGTATCTAGAAGAGACCCTATGAGTGCCTATGTGATGTGGAAGGTAGCCTAGCGGTTAAGAGCATTCGGCCTGTAACCGAAAGGCAGCTGGTTCGAATCCCAGAGCCAACTAGTGGGAAGAAATCTGTCTATGTGCTCTTGAGCAAGGCACTTAACCATAATTGCTCCTGTAAGTCGCTCTGGATAAATGCGTCCGCTAAATGACTCCAATGTATCATATAAATATATGCGACTGGAGTAGCTAATAGGTTCACATGCCTTTACTATGCTGGCTTGTGCTTCTGATTTGAGATATGAGCATGAATTGATAGGAGTCTTTGTAATGATGAAGCATCCATAGACAGGATCAATGTCTAAACCGTGCACAGACAGTGGGCAAACATTTCTTCACACTCACAGTCTCCTAGTGTTACAACGAGTTGATCTGATGATGCAATTCCTCTATATAATATCCTAGGAAACCCACTGTAGTCTACTCTCAATGAGACTTGATGATCTGGGGCCAGTTTGTAGAAATGCAGGCAGGTTCAATGTTAAACATGCACATGTGGAGTTCGCATAGCAGTGCCACCGGCAAACTGGTATTTTCCAGTCCGGTGAGAGGCAGACATGGAAAATGGAGCCCTTATTCATGGCTCAAAACCGGCTTATATGCCGGTCATCTAAGTTGACATGTGGAAAACGTAGCACAGAGAAATGCAGATTAATCATCTGAATCAAATGATGGAAAATGTATAATTGTAGTTATTTTATATGGGGATATCTGATAAAGACTAGCATAGAAAGATGAAAAACAGAAGTAGAGCGACGACAAAGGAGTAGAGGAGGGGCCAATTGGGGATATCCCAGCCCAGGGGTTACCATTTGACCCCAGAGAAATCTGACCCCTGACCCCAGAAGGTGGGAGAAACCCAGGAAACCAGTGACAGCCGATTCTAGTGGAAAACATGTCACTCTGAACCAGACCATCAATTTTTCTGTTTATTTATGTATGAAAAATACATGAAATAAATGAACAACAGTTTAGGTTACTGATGCCATCACAGTTGACACTGTTTTGAACCCTGCGTACACACATATTTAGCCTTGGCTTGAACTATACTTATGGCCAATGAAATTATCCCATCATAAATTCACACTTTGAATTGTCTTCCATTGGCCTAGTTCTCACAGTTCAATATTTAACCAAATGCAGTTCAACACCACTAGTATTCTACCCATCTCTCAGTTGTAATCCAGTTTGATCCAGTTTGTTCCTGCTTAGTGCTGGATGCTGTACTGACTCAGGTACTAGTCTGACACATACCCATGGAAAGTAAGAGCAAGCTGACAAGTAAGCATAAGAGTAGAGGGAGGCACGAAACCTCCAGACCTTACTAATGGGAAGTTGATTGAATATTTGCTGTGTGTAAAGTTACAAACCTCTCTATATTGGCTTTCATATCTCAGAGGCTACAGAAGGGCAAGTTAAAATCAGTCACAGCAATGCAGTCATTGACGGGTGACTGACTATGAAAACTAGGCTACTTCAACAGCTTAATTGCACATGTATTTATATACAAATCAGGTTGAAATATACAGTGGGGAGAACAAGTATTTGATACACTGCCGATTTTGCAGGTTTTCCTACTTACAAAGCATGTAGAGGTCTGTAATTTTTATCATAGGTACACTTCAACTGTGAGAGACGGAATCTAAAACAAAAATCCAGAAAATCACATTGTATGATTTTTAAGTAATTAATTTGCATTTGATTGCATGACATACGTATTTGATACATCAGAAAAGCAGAACTTAATATTTGGTACAGAAACCTTTGTTTGCAATTACAGAGATCATATTTACATTTACATTTACGTTTCCTGTAGGTCTTGACCAGGTTTGCACACACTGCAGCAGGGATTTTGGCCCACTCCTCCATACAGACCTTCTCCAGATCCTTCAGGTTTCGGGGCTGTCGCTGAGCAATACGGACTTTCAGCTCCCTCTATCTGATTTTCTATTGGATTCAGGTCTGGAGACTGGCTAGGCCACTCCAGGACCTTGAGATGCTTCTTACGGAGCCACTCCTTAGTTGCCCTGGCTGTGTGTTTCGGGTCGTTGTCATGCTGGAAGACCCAGCCACCACCCATCTTCAATGCTCTTACTGAGGGAAGGAGGTTGTTGGCCAAGATCTCGCGATACATGGCCCCATCCATCCTCCCCTCAATACGGTGCAGTCGTACTGTCCCCTTTGCAGAAAAGCATCCCCAAAGAATGATGTTTCCACCTCCATGCTTCACGGTTGGGATGGTGATCTTGGGGTTGTACTCATCCTTCTTCTTCCTCCAAACACGGCGAGTGGAGTTTAGACCAAAAAGCTCTATTTTTGTCTCATCAGACCACATGGCCTTCTCCCATTCCTCCTCTGGATCATCCAGATGGTCATTGGCAAACTTCAGACGGGCCTGGACATGCGCTGGCTTGAGCAGGGGGACCTTGCGTGCGCTGCAGGATTTTAATCCATGACGGCGTAGTGTGTTACTAATGGTTTTCTTTGAGACTGTGGTCCCAGCTCTCTTCAGGTCATTGACCAGGTCCTGCCGTGTAGTTCTGGGCTGATCCCTCACCTTCCTCATGATCATTGATGCCCCACGAGGTGAGATCTTGCATGGAGCCCCAGACCGAGGGTGATTGACCGTCATCTTGAACTTCTTCCATTTTCTAATAATTGCGCCAACAGTTGTTGCCTTCTCACCAAGCTGCTTGCCTATTGTCCTGTAGCCCATCCCAGCCTTGTGCATTTCTACAATTTTATCCCGGATGTCCTTACACAGCTCTCTGGTCTTGGCCATTGTGGAGAGGTTGGAGTCTGTTTGATTGAGTGTGGACAGGTGTCTTTTATACAGGTAACGAGTTCAAACAGGTGCAGTTAATACAGGTAATGAGTGGAGAACAGGAGGGCTTCTTAAAGAAAAACAAACAGGTCTGTGAGAGCCGGAATTCTTACTGGTTGGTAAGTGATCAAATACTTATGTCATGCAATAAAATGCAAATGAATTACTTAAAAATCATACAATGTGATTTTCTGGATTTTTGTTTTAGATTCCGTCCCTCACAGTTGAAGTGTACCTATGATAAAAATTACAGACCTCTACATGCTTTGTAAGTAGGAAAACCTGCAAAATCGGCAGTGTATCAAATACTTGTTCTCCCCACTGTAACTAATAATAAAGCCCCCCAACCAGTTCCAGTTTTTGTACATAGTTTATGCCCCATGTTTGCCATCCTATACTCCATTGAAAACATGAGGCAACTAGTAAGTAGGCTTTGGGTTGAAGTATGCGTTTCCAAATAGGTCTGGCAATCCTTCGCTAGCTACACCCGTCTGCTGAACTTTAGCTAAAGGTCCATCACATCATGTGGCAGCCGCAATAGCAACACTGTACCAGTCAGCTATTAGCCTAGCCACTAGCCTATTAGCATCCCAACAAGAGACAGGGTTGGTTATGCAGGCTACGAGGGTCCCCCTGTCACCTGATCCCCAAATCGGCCACCCGATACCCCCGATGAGGGGATTTTGAAGGTGTCAGAATGATCCTCTGATAGATTTACTGTCCCTGTGAAGTGCATGGCGAGGAAAGCTGTTGCCACTCAATGGGAAAGCACCTGTTGCTATTGCTAGGGGTAATTAGGTAATGATATTTATTTATTTGACTTTTTGCAGGATGAAATCTCTTGAGATGTCCAAATGAAAATGAACTAAAAACAAACAATACTTAGTAACAATAATAATATGGCAATTACTGTCTAATAACAATAAAGTAATAATAACTATGAAATAATAATAATAATAATAATAGTAATAATAATAATAATAGTAATAATAATAAACATATAAAGCCCTCTAGAAAGTCCCCTTTTACAACCTAAACAGGAATGGTGTTGATTTGTTATAGATTATCTGTCAAACATTTTAAGGAGTATTGGGGGTATGGCCAGGCACTCATAATGCCTGTTATTAAAGACAGTATCAGGCTTTATTTTAAGTTGTTTTTAGACCCTGTTATCTTATCTATTTAAAGGCAGTAAAATATTAAAAACTGTGTGCATGCACACGTGTGTTTGTATCCAGTACATGCACCAACTAGAGAGCTGTACAACACAAGCTGTAACATAATACAGCCTCGTATCTCTGTTCAGTTTACCATCCGTTGGCTTGTTCATACTATTTTGTTTGCTTAGCAAACTTGTTCTATTTGCTCCTGCGAGACAAGCTCTGCTTACATATTCCTCGTTGATACTTAGTATTGAATATCTAGTGAGAACATTTATTTAGCTTACAAGCCCTGTATCAGAGGTCCTCTTCCAAGTAACACCACACAACACGAGGCCTGTATTCAGCAGTTACTAGTTTCCACTGAGACATTTATTAATTGTGAATAAACATGTAATTTGGTATTTGGTATTTTATTAGGATCCCCATTATTAGCAATTCCTAGTAAAACAAACTTGATTTTATGCATGCCCAATATGACCAGACTAATATTTTGTATTTTCCATGAACAACTACCTGCAGAAAGCTTATTGTTTGATTGATTGATTGATTGACTAAGCCCTCCACGGACAAAAGCTCCATCTGAAATCTTACATCATAGTGACTGCATGCCATGCACTGAGGACAACGCTATCTTGTTTACCAGCAACTGAACACCGGGTGTGCTAGCTAGCGCTAGGCTAATGCTGACATCAACCCTAAGGAGGCCTCAACAACCAACCAACACAGTTGTACACGTTATTTTGCAGACATGCTATTCCCAGACAGGGGACACTTGATCCGCACAGGGTCCAGTTTCAGCTAACTTATAATAAATATGTTTAGATGCCATATGGATGCCACAGGGGCCTTCGCGACCAGGGCCGGCTCCCGGCTCTTTAGATCCCAAATGGCATCTGGCTGTTCTGAGTTCCGCACAATCACCCTACAATGATGGGAATGTCTCACCAATGCAAACAGTGGTCATATGATATCTACAACTAGTCTCTCATACTGTGTTATAACACAGGGTTACTAGTATGTATCTCTTAACTCATCCCACTCTCTTAATAAGGTTTCACATTAGTGGAATCTCAGACATCCTATTGTGCTCCTGAATGAATACAAACATCATGAACTACTAACCTGTTAAAGACTACCTATTTGTAACTCTCCACCAAACAGCCCCAAAATAACAGTCTGTTATTACACTACACACTGACCTGTTCAGGGTTTCCATGGTCTTGACCGCGCTGACGTCCTGTGGGGCCCCCGGTGGGGTCTGCTCCATCCTCTCAGGGCTGGGGCTCCTCACCTCCGGGGCCAGGGGAACAGGTAGGACCAGGGGCAGGGGCCTCACATGGGGCAGCCCAGGAGAGAGACTGGGAAGGGGCACGGCTCGGAGCACCGTCGCTGTCTCGCGCTTTACTTTCCTCACCTGTGGAAAGCGAGAAGGAGAATGAAGGACTGGTGAGGCGGGTGGACGCCCTGTAACACTAGAGTCCCGTGTGTAGAGCCAGAGATGGAAATGATCCCTTCCTCAGCACACTGTCACAGAGGCAATCAGATCAGCCGTGTTGACCTTTAGTCAGGCTACTACAGTATAAAACATCCATTGGAGGATAGGCTATGGGCAGTAGAGACATGGAGGTTGGCTTATAAAAGAACAACAAATGAAGGGGGAAGGTTAGCCTTAAACTGTGTCGTGTTCATTTGGGCACTCCGTAGCGAAACATTTCAAAACGGCGTTCAATGCAAAACGCGAGCTTATTGGAAAAGTTCAGAGAGTACGTTCCCATTTCGGCCTGTTTGCGTCCGTTTCATGCCTAATGAATACGACCCTGTGGAAATGAAAAGGGGTGAACTCCTCTTGCTCTTACCGTGCTGACTCCTAGGGGGTATAGCTGACGGTAGCCTGTCGTGTCTACGGTGTACCTAAAGAACCTCATCCGTACCACTGCTATGTCACACCGACCTTTCTTCATATCGACGGTGTGTTCACTAGTAGGCTATACTGAGTTTCAGTTCTACAGGGGTACACTAGCTACATCTAACGCATATAACTGAGAGGTGTGTATTTGGGGGTAAGAGAAAAGTGTGAATGAGAAACGTGAAGTTTATCAAATGTTAGCAGTCCACTGTTTCGTAGCCTAATGGGTCTGAAGCCTACAGCTCAACTATTGATCAAAGGCACACTAACCAATCACGACAGGGTTTGGCTCTGGACAAAAGCCAATGCTAAACCATTTAATGATGAAGAACGGAAGTACTTTTTCAGTGAGCCATGTTTATCAATGGAATATCCAGTCAGGGCTGGAATCGTTGGTTCTCTGCTACTAGGAGAACCATGGAAAAGGTCTAGTAGTTCATGTTTTTCCATTACAGAACAGTTTGAAAAGCTTCTAAGCCTAAGGGACTAGATTTTGCGCTTCAACGACAGATGTCGGGAGTTAAGTGATGTATTTGGCTTAATGTGGGGGGCGGTGCATCCAGGACACCAGAGGGGGGGGGGTGATGACCTCTCCACTGCTAGAAACACGACTTCCATCTCTTAAAGCACCTGCAAAGGCAACACGCCAACACAAAACTCGTAGCGAAAGACCCCCTGAGACCTGACCACTGCTGCTGAAGATGACTGTAGGTCTACCTCATCCAAACCAACAAGGCATGATTTTTGTGTAGACTTGTGTAGGTGTATAGGCCAACGTAACATTGACCTGGTTTACATTGCGTGAGGACGCGCAACGTTTTGGGGTGTAACGCAAAAGCAATATAACGAGTAGTGTAACTAATGACTTTTTCCAGGGAGTAATAAGTAATTTGTTATTGTTGAAAGAAGTAACGAGTAATAGCGAATATATTACTTATTTTTTTTGTAACGACTCCAACACTGGTGATGACAGGAAGTGGCCGAACAGGAGAACTATGGGTAACTAAACACCATTCTGTCACCAAGAAGGACGAACTGGCAGTACGACAATGTGTTAATGACAGACAACATGAAGGAAATCGTTTTTAGGCTAAACAGTTTCTTATTGTCCAATTGACCAAAGAGGAGGTGACCTCATTTGAAAATAATGAAAATAGTAAGTTGGATCAAAAATCCAAAAAAAGACTACCAAAGGAAATACCAACAACCGTTCTTGAGTCATTCACAACCATTCACAACCACCTGTGAAAACATGGCTTCCAAATCACCAACACTACCTTTAGTTGTAGAGGCAGAGGTGTTGACAGATCAGTTGTCTGACCTCTTTTTTGGAATGAGAGACATACCTGTTAATGTGTTGTAGGCCTTGTGAAGAACAACACTCACTTGGCTGAGATTCTCACCACAACACAATGATCCAAAAACACAAGCTATTATTTACTGCAGCAAAAACACTTTCACTTAAATACCGGAAAAGGTGTGACATTAAAATTCCAATACCGCTGTTACCATAACAACAGAATGTTTGCTTAAGTTTTGAAATGTAAATATAAATAAGAGCACAAGGAACGTAGACTACAGCAGTTGAATGATAATGTCATCATGGACTTTTTTTAGCTGAGAAAGTCCCAGCTAAAATGGGGAAAGTCACTTGAACTCACTACAGGAGTGTTCACTGTGTTGGGTAATGTGGCACATACAACAACAGGTGAACAAGTTCAGATAGAATACATCATAAACATCTTTAGGGCCCTCTGATCGATGGTGGCAATTACTCATCTCACATTTCCCGACAATAGACCAGAGCCTCGACAGATAAGCCAGGCTCTACAGAGCTATAAATACATTGAAACTGAGCCTAATTTATGCCAAATGGAAACACAAAAATGTGATTAATCGATTGCAATGTCACAGCCCCTCTCAGTTGCACGCAACAGATTTACATAGACATGCCAAACTACAATGTCACACTAAGGCCCCAAATGTGTGTGTGAGTGTGTGCTTCCTGCACAATCAACCCATCTGAACGACTATCAGCAGAAGAACAGTACTTACGGCTTTTCAACTATAGTTCCCCCTCCCACCATAAAGTCCAATTAGCAAGCCAGGTAGCCAACTTATCTACACGCCATATCTTTGTTGGGTTATATATTTAAACAAGACTGTCATCCAAGGCCATCATGGGTAAATATCCCCGATAAGAATGCTTTGATTTTATTAGGCTGCAGATTACATTACAGTATACCGTATATGGCTATAAAACTATTCTACTAACCTTGCTCATTTATAAGGAAGCCATTTATAAGGAACCCCATGGTAAATCACAGGATATAACTGTTTTTATTATGTAGTGGGAAGTCAGGTTTATGTGGCTGCATCAACATGAAATTAAAGGTAAATTCCCTTAATTTCCCATCAACATGAAATTAAAGGGGAGTTCCTTTCATTTTCCATCAACATGAAATTAAAAGGGGAGTTCCTTTCATTTTCCATCAACATGAAATTAAAGGTAAATTCCTTTCATTTTCCATCAACATGAAATTAAAGTGGAGTTCCTTTCATTTTCCATCAACATGAAATTAAAGGGGAGTTCTTTCATTTTCCATCAACATGGAAAAATCCATTCTAAATTACATTTTAGTCATTTAGCAGACGCTCTTATCCAGAGCGACTTACAGTGCATACATTATTATTTATTTCTTTCATACCCCCTGTGGGAAACGAACCCACAACCCTGGCGTTGCAAACACCATGCTCTATCAACTGAGCTACATCCCTGCCGGCCATTCCCTCCCCTACCCTGGGCCAATTGCGTGCCGCCCCATGGGTCTCCCGGTCGCAGCCGGCTACGACAGAGCCTGGATTCGAACCAGGATCTCTAGTGGCACAGCTAGCACTGTGCTGCAGTGCCTTAGACCACTGCGCCACTCGGGAGATAAGCCCTAAATGCCCTGGAAATGTTATATTTAGTGTTATCACTTGAATTACAATTGATATTAACATATTTTGTTTTATCCAGGGCCATAGTATTTCAATTGTCAACTGGCTTTCTAACATTTCCTGGAACGCTATCAAAGCTAACTTCACTGAAATGGCTCAAAATCAAATGAACAAGCAAACAAAACAAACGTGTTTGTCTGTGTGGCTCCTCAACAACAAAACTACCAAGGAGCAACAACAAAGTAGTACGCTAGATTAGATAATGCTAGCGATGCTAAATATGAGCCTAATGCACAGGCTCTGTGATTTTATTGACTCATTTTATATTATATTTTAGTCATTTAGCAGATGCTCTTATCCAGAGCGACTTACAGTAGTGAGTGCATACATTTTCATACTTTTTTCACACTGGTCCCCCGTGGGAATTGAACCCACTATCCTGTCACTGCAAGTGCCATGCTCTACCAACTGAGCCACATGCGTCCTGGGGACTCTGCAGGGAAAACAATCCCATTGTTAGCTCAATCAGCATTTCTCAATCTCTTCTCTGGCTTCTGTCCGGATATTAAATAATATCCTATGGGCTAACTGCTAAACTCTTTTATAGCCTTAGACAAACAATACATTCAGCTAGTGTATGTAGGTCTATGAGTCACAACAATAGAATTAGAATTTAATTCCATTCTTAGTCAAGGGCTGCAATTTTATTAATTCAAATGAATACTTAAGAACGGAAGTCGGTTGGTGAAGGCTATTCGGCTGTCTGCATCATAATTCCACAGGAAGGGCATATAGCCAGCGTAGCTCCTGTGTGTCATTGTGAATTAGCTTGATTGTTGTTGTGTTGTGGCTCAGCTGGCTTCCTCCCACTGGTTTACCTTATCAAATCAAGTCATGTGAGCGAGTGGCTTGATCAGAGCTATCACTATCAGAAGCCCACGACCAGGACCGGCTCCAGGCATAAGCAGTCCGACCTTCACAAAAATCAGTTGGGTTCTCAACTTACTGTTGAGAGTTAGAAAACACAAGGTGCAAGTTTGACATTTGGTTGTGCATCAGCAGTCACTCAATTAGCCATGTCAGCTAACATTTTTTAGATTGGTAAGTTAGTCTAGCCAGTTATCTAAACTTGCAGTAATCATGGCCGAATACCGCCCGGGCACACAGGGCACCCGCCTAGGGGCCCCCACCTCCAGCGGGCCCCCATTGATTTTGTTAGTCACTCTCACTCATATCATTAACATGGCATAAGTCATGGCAAAATGAGTAGAATTGTATGAAATGTGTTAAGAAATGTCAAAAATGTCTCTTTGCCCAGAAATGATGAGAACTGCAGAAAACTTGCTTTAAAACTGCAACATTTCCTCTACGTCCCATGGCAAAATGTGTAGAATTGCCAAAAATCTACTTTATAACGTAAATGTATTCTTTCCGCTGTCAAGATGGGGCCCACTAAAATGTTTTGCCCACTTAGGGGGGCAACCAAATCTCGCTTAGGGCCCCTAAAAGGCTAGAGCCGTCCTTGCCCACGAGTGACCCCTGAGGGGTATACTACAAAGAAGGGTCAATGAGTTAGCCAGCTAACTTGCCTAAATATTCTGAAATAACTTATTTCTTTATTTTTTTAAAGATAGACTTCAAATGGGCATGGTCTAATTGGCTCAACAACCAAAAACGCATATCTAAGTAGAACTTTCTAATGCACCAGAAAATCAATTGTTATTTCTGGTTGTTTATCAAAGTTAGCTGGCTAACTCATTGATCTTGCTTTGTAGTATATGCCTCTGGACACTGCGTGTTTATGTTTGTGTTTGTTATTGTGCATGTGTACAGGCGTGTATGTGTGTGTGTTTAGGGGAGATACAAATACAGCCACAACAACATTGACAACATTAGGTAGTTTGTGGCATCAGGCCCGTATCCACAAAGCCTCTTAGAGTAGGAGTACTGATCTAGGATCAGTTTAGCCTTTTAGATCAGAAATGAATAAGTTTATATGGACAGATGGGGACCTGATCCTAGATCAGCACTCCTACTCTGAACCAGAGCTAACCCACCATATTTGAGAAATAACCGATAACACATGTCTGTATTGCCATGGTTACGGTGCAATTATCAGGATTAGATGTCTATTTCAGGATAGGGCAATCTTAAGGCAATCAAATAAACATTGTTCATGTTGTTCAGAGAGAACAAGTCAATATTTTAATTTATTCACTGTACCTTCTGTTTCCTTGGGGTTATGATTGGGTTTTCATTGGATAGTTCTTTTGATGGCTCAGTGTTCTCTGCTGGACTGTTGGATGCAGCCTGAAAACATAAAGGAGGAATGACAATGTACATATCATATAATTCATATAACATCATGTATTTTTCTGTCAATAGCTAACGATCGTCAATCCACCAAGGCATATCACAGTGCATTTGTGACTGACGGGGCATATCGGCTCCTAACAATATAACTATGGGTTAGGATTAGCCCAATTGCTCAACTGCAATATGACTTTGTGAATACAGGATGATCGCTGCAATACACAATGATCACTCATAGCTGTTTATCAGTCGTGTCAACATATAGTACATTGAATAACATATCTGTAGTATCCTCACGTGTTGACCTGGAATAGCATGTTCAGTGCCTTCGGAAAGTATTCAGACCCCTTGACTTTTTCCACATTTTGTTATGTTACAGCCTTATTCTAAAATTGATTTTTAAAAATTTACACACAATACCCCATAATGACAAAGCGAAAACAGGTTTTTAGAAATGTTTGCTAATTTATCAAATGTTTAAAACAGAAATACCTTATTTAAATATATTATTAGTATTCAAACCCTTTGCTATGAGACTTGAAATTGAGCTCAGGTGCATCTTTTTTCCAGTGATCATCCTTGAGATGTTTCTACAACTTGATTGGAGTCCACCTGTGGTAAATGTAATTGATTGAACATGATTCGGAAAGGCACACACCTGTCTATATAAGGTCCCGCAGTTGACAGTGCATGTCAGAGCAAAAACCAAGCCATGAGGTCGAAGGAATTGTCCACAGAGCTCCGAGATAGGATTGTGTTGAGGCACAGATCTGGGGAAGGGTACCAAAAAATGTCTGCAACAATGAAGGTCCCCAAGATCACAGTGGTCTCCAAGTTTGGAACCACCAAGACTCTTCCTAGAGCTGGCCACCCGGCCAAACTGAGCAATCGGGGGAGAAGGGCCTTGGTCAGGAAGGTGACCAAGAACCCGATGGTCACTGTGACAGAGCTCTAGAGTTCCTCTGTAGAGATGGGAGAACCTTCCAGAAGGACAACCATCTCTGCAGCACTCCACCAATCAGGCCTTTATGGTAGAGTGGCCAGACGGAAGCCACTCCTCAGTAAAAGGCACATGACAGCCCGCTTGGAGTTTGCCAAAAGGCACCTAAAGACTCTCTGGTCTGATGAAACCAAGATTGAACTCTTTGGCCTGAATGCCAAGCGTCACGTCTGGAGGAAACCTGGCACCAACCCTACGGTGAAGCATGATGGTGGCAGCATTATGCTGTGGGGATGTTTTTCAGCGGCAGGGACTGGGAGACTAGTCAGGATCGAGGAAAAGATGAACGGAGCAAAGTACAGAGAGATCCTTGATGAAAACCTGCTCCAGAGCGCTTAGGACCTCAGACTGGGGCAAAGGTTCACCTTCTAAAAGGACAACGACCCTAAGCACACAGCCAAGACAACGCAGGAGTGGCTTCGGGACAAGTCTCTGAATGTCCTTGAGTGGCCCAGCCAGAGCCTGGACTTGAACCCGATCTAACATCTATGGAGAGACCTGAAAATAGCTGGGCAGGAACACTCCTCATCCAACCTGACAGAGCTTGAGAGGATCTGGAGAGAAGAATGGGAGAAACTCCCCAAATACCGGTGTGCCAACCTTGTAGTGTCATACCCAAGACGACTCGATGCTGTAATCGCTGCCAAAGGTGCTTCAACAAAGTATTGAGTAAAGGGCCTGAATACTTATGTAAATGTGATATTTCAGTTTTATTTTATTATTATAAATTAGTAAAAAATACAAAAAATCTGTTTTTGCTTTTTCATTATGGCGTATTGTGTTTAGACTGATGAGGGAAAAAAAAACAATTTAATCAATTTTAGAATAAGGCTGTAACTTAACAAAATGTGGAAAATGTCAAGGGGTCTGAATGCTTTCCTAAGACACTGTATCACAGCTGAAACTATCCCTATGAATATATGATGCAGGGACTTGCACGTACATGCATAGGTGTGACGAAAGATGTTCCTTTTTACTTTTCAAAACCATGTCTAATTGACTACTTCATGTGACCACATGGTTGGTGTTAAAAGTACTCTGTAAGGGGAATTCTACTCTGTTGGGAAATTCTTAGTTAAAAGTACTCTGTTAGGGAATTCTTAGTTAAAGGTACACTGTTGGGGAGTTCTAAGAGACGTAGTTCATGCAGGTTAACACTGAGAATCCTACATGTGTACATAGGGCACTAACACAAACCTAAACCAGTGGAGGCTACTGAGGGGACAACGGCTCATAGAAATGTCTGGAACGGAACCAATGGAATGGCATCAAACCATGTGTTTAATGTATTTGATGCCATTCCACGCCATTCTGCGAGCCCTTCCTCCCCAATGAAGGTGCCACCAACCTCCTGTGACCTAAACACTGTGTTCCATGGCAGGTCCACACACGCAAACTAAAACAAGTGTGCACTAGGCAGGCAGCACGTACCCCCCATAGAGACACCTAAGCATTGTTTTCCATGGCAGGGGCACACAAAAAACGCACTCACACACACACACTCATATATACTCACACACACTCATACACACTCACATACACTCACACACCTCTTTCTTTCTGGGAACTGGAATCGGTGTCTTTTGAGTGTGTGTGGGAGTGCTTGGTGTTCTTGATGTGGTTCTGGGTGTTTTCGGTGACTCAGTATCTGTCCTATTCACTGCGGTCTCCTTGACCTCCTGAGAAAAAGACAAAAATATATTCTTCACACACAATCATCCTATTAACCAGTGGCAGGTCCAGTGAAGCAGATGAGTTACTGTTGGCTTTTATTCCTTTGTAATTGAAGGTACGCCATTTCCTCATCTAATGGTGTGAAATATCATGCCAGCGATACATTCCAGAACAGACTTTAGATAAACACTTCTGTTGTGGCCAAGGGTAGGAATTGGAGAGTGAAAATCATTTGACAATGTAAAAATGTCTTCTGACTTCCCAGAGTGATTAACAAGTCTCATAGCAGTGTGTGTTCTACCTCCCTAACAACAGTGTGTTCTACCTCCCTAACAACAGCGTGTTCTACCTCCCTAACAACAGTGTCCAGAACAGATGAGACAGGTCAAATGTGCTGTGCTGCCTGACCCTAACCTCTAACCCCAACACCTCCACTCAAACAACCCTATTGTCAACTCACGCCCCCCTCCCTCTTACAGTAAGAGGACAGAAGCACCTGTACCGATGGCTACGTGCAGAGAAAAGCAATGAGGGGCAAGTGGGAGGTCAATGGTCAAAAAGCAGCCTCAGGAGGTATAGCCCTGCGTGTGTGTAAGGAGATCCCAATAGCAGCTGGTCAAGCGGAGGGATATCCTACAGGTCAGCAGCCAACCGGGGTCTCTGGTTTTGTGAGGTCCCTAAGGCCCCCTGAGGCCCCTGACTGCTACAGGGATTTACGGCACTGGAGAGAACTAGAGATCTTTTCATGTGAGGCCACCACACACACAACATGCAATGATAAATACACTCAGCACTTCCTATGAGGGCTGACTGACCAGATGGCCACTTTGTCCTTGATGCAGAAAGTGATTGAGAAACTCAAAATGGAACTCATGATAAAGTGCTACTTTATGGAATGAAGGTATGTTTGACACATACTCTTAACATAAAGCATTTATGAATACTCATGTACAGTACGTCTGGGGTAACAGTGTTATTGGAGTAACCAGACCCTTGGTCAGTCCATAGTGATGTGGTTAAAAACAGCATTAGGGGTATACTGTAACAGGTCAAACTCACCAGGGGCATTTTCTACACTGACCAATATTGGCCCTTTCTGACACTAAGGGTCCAGGCCCCAGTCAGGAATGACAACTGGGAAATTATGAAATCCTTAAAGTTTTGTGAAAATGCCCAAAAAGAATGGATTCTTAAAGTAGGTAAATAAATATATTTTACAGCGTGACTTATCGTCCCATTATCTATGGTCTTCTTCTCCTCAGCTTTCTCTTCTCCTCAAGTGCTTGAGACACATCAAAGGGTAGTCTAGACTAGACTCATTAAATATGGATCGATAGCAAGAACAGAACATCAAAACAAAGATGTTCCCCTGGAAGAGTCGGGGCTGAGATGGCATCTCTCCAAATCAATTCAAAGACGGGTATAACATCACTTGCAGGCAAAGGAAATGTACCCCAAAAATTGGTTCCAAAATGGCACCCTATGACCTACATCAGTGGTTCCCAACCAGGGGTACTAGGACCCCTGGCGGTGCTTGGCCTATCCACAGGGGGTACTAGGACCCCTGGCGGTGCTTGGCCTATCCACAGGGGGTACTAGGACCCCTGGCGGTGCTTGGCCTATCCACAGGGGGTACTAGGACCCCTGGCGGTGCTTGGCCTATCCACAGGGCGTACTAGGACCCCTGGCGGTGCTTGGCCTATCCACAGGGGGTACTTGAGAAGACTCATGAGCCCATAGGGTAACTGGTAAAATGAACAAGGTACTCCCCGCAGAGCAAAATTCAGTTGTTGGTACAATAACTGAAAGAGGTTGGGAACCACTGCCCTACATAGTGTACTACTTTTGACAAGAGCCCACATAGGGATAGATAGGGAAGACGTAGCCCAAATCAATATGAAGACTTGTATAAAAGACATGTATAATACCAGTAACTCACTTTAACAATGATGATGTTAGAAGGTAGAGATTCCTCTATGTATTCTCCTCTGTCTCCATCTCTATTGAAGACACAGTGATCTTCTATATGGTCTCCTCTGTCTCCATCTCTACTGAAGACACAGTGATCGTCTATATGGTCGTCATCTTGGTGGTTGTTGTTGAATATGCTGCTGTAGTTCTGGATCAGCTTGGCCATGATCTTATTACAGATGTTCTGCTCCTGGATCCCATCCAACCCAGAGGACACACTGGTGACAGAGACAGACAGAGAAGATTAGAGATGGCTTATAATTATAACAATGTACAATATCATAAGTACAATATTGTAGCAACATTGACAAAAGCTTTGGAACTCTTGGCATAGTAGTTTAGCCAGAGACGGAAGAGGAAGTGAGACACCCCACTCACTGTTAGTCTCCTGGTTCAATCAAAGTCAATGAACTACTGTAAGTAGACCCAGCTGTTATTGCACTGGTGTCTATGGGAGAGACGCCCAGTTAAGTAGACCAGAACTGACCATTATTTTCCAATGGTAAACGGCCTGAGTAAATCATCTTCATTTATCCACCATCTTTAGTTTAGCTAGGTGTTTGACTGACAGACATAGGGTCACAGGGTACATATTACTCAAGATCCACCCCCTATTCGCAGCAATACAACACCTTCTCTGCCATGACAAAGAGCAACAAAAGCTACAATACATCATTTATGCAGGTGCCGTTTGACACAAAACAAGGTCAACAAGGACAACGTGGTTCAAGGGAAACACGAGCACCACATTCCACCAACAGCTCTCACATCATAGCACAATAACACAACAGTCCATGGACAAAGTGCTTTTCTACAGCCCTTATGGGGGTCTTATGGCGGCAAACACGATGCCACAGGATTAAATAGAAGAGAGTCATATTATAGTGAATCTCGATGAGTAGGGCACAGGAGGTTGGTGGCACGTTAATTGGGGAGGAAGGGCTTGTGGTAGTGGCTGGAGCGGAATAGGTGGAATGGTTTCACATCAAACATATGGAAACCACGTTTGACTCCTTTCCATTAATTCCATTCCAGCCATTACAATGAGCCCGTCCTGCTATACCTCCTCCCACCAGACTCCTCTGGAGTAGGGCACATTCCAGTACCATGTCAGGCCAAGTCAGGACAATCCAGTAGCCCTTGATACCAGATCATGTTACTGAGTTTTTCCTGAACAGCTGTTTGACATGCCGACATGGCGTGGGCTCTGGGCCTAATTATACCCCTCTCTGATTGGTTGACGGAGGGAACACACTGAGAACATGGTGTACAGTATGAGGCCAGGGCAAAGGTATGTCACTTCCAGAGGAGGCTGGTGGGAGGAGCTATAGGAGGACAGGCTCATTGGAATGCCTGGAATGGAATCAATGGAATGGAATCAAACACATCAAACATATGGAAACCTCCATTCCATTTATTCCATTCCAGCCATTACAATGAGCCTGTCATCCTATAGCTCCTCCCACCAGCCTCCTCTGGTCACTTCCTTGTCCTCTTACTGTACTATAGAGTTCGATAGAGGGCACAGTTGCCTCAAAACCTGTTTTAGCGGACAGCACCATTGATGAAGTGATAATGGCAAAGATAGGGTGCGTGCCCTCTTCCCAATTCTATGTCCTGTACAGACCCTCCAGTGATAGTGAGACTTGATGTGCCATCAGGGACGGATTCCCTGGCATGGACATCTGGTGTTATTATTAGATATGGCTGCCAATCAGGCGGGCAGGGGGGTATGGGGTGGCCAGTAGGTATGGATGGCTGGGAAGTTGGAACATAGTTATAGGTGTAAAGTAACTAATTGCCACTAATCTCGCTACTGTAACTGTAGCTTTTCAGAGTACTTGTACTTTTTGGAGTATTTTTCAAAGTCAGTTTTTTTACTTCTACTTGAGTAAAATGTCATTAAAGTAACATTACTGCTACTTGAGTAGGATATTTCAGTACTCTTTCTACATCTGGTGAGTGAGTGAAAGAGGGAGTTTGTGAGGGAGTGAGTGAGTGAAACAGGGAGCAGTTCTTTTACACCAGTAATTTGACTCCTACTTGAGTAAAATACGTCATTAAAGTAACAGTACTTCTACTTAAGTAGGATATTTCAATACTCTTTCCACCCATGAACATAATGCCCTCGATCACGGTGCGAGGCATATGGTACTCTGTGGATAGTAGACACTTGGACACTGAGAACACAGACATACACCATTTATGAGCAATGAGGGCATTGGCCAGGGAGAGGACATGGTTGACTGTGAAGTTACATAGTACCCTCGATCATGATCACATTTCTCAAATAGTGACAGTACCACTCAAAGGGATGCCGGTAGAAGTGGAAGAGAATGTGAATAGTAAAGGAGTGTGTGTGTGTGTGTGTGTGTGTGTGAGAGAGAGAGATAGACAGAGAAGGTGGAGGAGGGAGATAGAGAGATGGAGAGATGAAGGAGGGACAGAGGGTGAGAAAGGAGGAGTGCAACAGCTCTCTCCCTTTCTCCTGCCTACTCGTTCTCATGGCAACACATGTCAATACAGGTTTAGAACAGGACAATGTTGACGGAAACACAAACATCAATCAATCAACCTGATTCCAAGGATTTAGGCAAGTCAGCCAAGAAGTCCCAGTGCATAGAGGTAGCTGTGTGTGTGTGTGTGTGTGTGTGTGTGTGTGTGTGTGTGCTATTCAAAGACTGTCATAGACAGGCAGGCAGGCCACTAGAGACTAATGACACACACACACACAGGTGTCCTCTCAGGCGTGATAAATGATATACTCCAAGGATAAATCCACATCCAAGCTGGCTTTAATACGCTTGTTAAGGAACATTCTACCCTTTAAACAGCAGAGGGTAAATAGCAAGGGATTAAAACGTGGATGTTGTTGGAGTGGAGACGTGAGGGACTAAGTCAGGACAACTCATTGGAGGTTGCTGGTGTTTTCAGGACCCATTCTGTTATATTTTCTTATTTTATACAGGCGTGTTTTGTCTTATAGAACAATTATTATATGGAACAGTTTAACATGAATCAATCATAAATCAAACTATTAACTGCGCAACCAGCACACTATCTACTTTATATGGTAAATACTTGACATAGCACATTCATGATCTATTCTGTGTATCCTATTGTGTACATACCAGGATATTACTATGTGGACCCCAGGAAGAGTCGCTGTTGCCTTGGCAGGAACTAATGGGGATCCTAATAAAATACAAAAACTACTATTCTATTACTTTTTTATTATTGATTATTATTGATTATTATTGATTATTATTGATTATAGTACTGCAATGTTGAGGGAGCTCGTACACAAGCATTTCACTGCACCTTTTATACCTGCTGTAAACTGTGAACGTGATGAATAACATTTGATTTGATTTTGAACAGTTTCTGTGTATCTTTTTAAAGGGATATAGCACCATTTTCCGGCACAACATCATGCATGACTCATAACATATATGCCATAAACTGGCTTTAACAAGGGCTTAAAACATAATGACAGTCATCTGCCATTTAGACCAACCTGGCAACCCATCTGTCTTAAAATAACACCCATCCCAAAATCCCATGAACATGTAATAAAACTTACTGGAAGACATTGGGGCCGAAGACAGTTGCCAGATTGAGAGCGGTCATGCGGTTCTCCTTGTGGCGCTGGTCCACCTGGGTGAGGAAGAGACAGAGGTACTGCAGGAGGCTGTAGTGGATGTCTGGCAACTGGTGGAGTAAGACCCTCAGGTCTGAGCAGAAACCATCCTCACTGGACTCTGGAGGGAAATATACAGGGAGAACCATTTAGAAAATAAAGCTGTTCTGTTCTATTCAGGGCGGCAGGTAATTTAGCGGTTAAGTGCATTGGGCCAGTAACCGAAAGGTCGCTGGTTTAAATCCCAGAGCCAACTAGGTGAAAGATCTGTCAATGTGCCCTTGAGCAAGGCACTTAACCCTAATTGCTCCTGATAATCGTTCTGGATAAGAGCGTCTGCTAAGTGATGTAAATGTATTCTATTCTAGACATTATTAGAGAGGGGAGAGACTGTGTTGTGCTTTGGTTGAACAGCTGTACACCTAGAAGAAAACCACAAACATGTAGAAACAAAATTATCAAAAATTTAAAGATTCTAAGGAATTTTGAGAGTACTGTACTTCGAACCAATGCTCCAATTTGTTGATGAGAAAGATAGCACATGATTATTAACCCACATACCAAGAATTGCATTGGCATGATCATGTTTTTTAATAATACTTTAGCTCACATTACCTAGTTTATAATCTGTCAATAATAATTATTCTCTCATAACTTACAAAACAAGCACACAAACAAGCTTTGGTTTTGGGTTCTGAGAGTCGTGGCCTTTCGACTAAGGTCAAGTGTGTCAAATTGAAAACAAGCCTACTAACACCATACAATCCTAACTTCAGGTCAACGGCTGTTGTTGGGCTGGACGCACATTGATATTTGAAAGAGAATGACGCACACACCTGCTCTAAATGTATCATCTATGACCACGATGCTGGTAATACCTTAGCATTAAAAGGCAGTGAAAACATGATGATGCCAGTACTCAGTCAGGATTCATATTGGGGTCAGAGGTCAGAGGTGGATAAAGGGACATACCTACTGGTCTTGAGTAAGGCAGACATGTGTCTATGTAGTTTGTGTGTGTGTGTGTGTGTGTGTGTGTGTGTGTGTGTGTACACAACAGGAGGGCACCAGGAGTTCTGAGAGCACTGACAGCTGTTGCATGTCTGGTGAGGTGAAGTTCAGAGGTGTGTGTGTTGTGTTCATGAGCTCTGAGAGCACTCACAGCTGTTGTAAGTCTGGTGAGGTGAAGTTCAGAGGAGTGTGTGTGTGTGTGTGTGTGTGTGCATGTGAGTGTGTGCGTGTGGGGAGAGGTGAAGTGGGATCAGATGGAGACGTCAGCCCTTCACTCTGCCAAGAATGCCCAGACACAGGCTTGTTCCTGGGTTTTATATGACGATAGAGTTACTCAGTTGATCCACTGTCATTTTCTACCACACTACAAAACAGACTGACCCTAATCTCAGACCGCTATCTCTAACATGTCTCTATGGGTGTCTATGATAGTGACCTCTTTGCATATTTCCCTTCATTTCTCCAAGGTAAGACATATCATCCGTAACCAGATAAACAATATCAAAGAATTTCCGCCTGAAAAAGAGAGGAAAGACTGACATCAGCTTGAGGCTAAACAGTGAACATTGACCAACTCTAATCCTAAACTGAATATTCACAATAAAATGAATCACAATCCAGAATATTGTAATCCGGTTTATCGTTGCCATGGCAGTCACGCAGCAGCAAAGTCCCTCACGTGGCAAATCTTCGGGTCGAACATTGCAATCTGCTAATGTGTAACATTACCTACCAGGGCAGCAAAATGTCAGCCAAACCACACTGGGTTTTTAGATGGGTTTCCTGGTACCCATGATGCATCATATGTGGCCAGTCCAACAGCACACATGCCACACAGAGAGCGGGAACATTCAGGTCACCTTCCACCTCTCTGGGGGATATAAAATAGATATTTGTGTCCTGTCATAATTTGTTCCATCTTTCTATCTTTCCATCGTATCTATCGTTCTATCATTCCGATGGGAATGCACCTATTGACCAATTCCTCCTCCATCTATTCATCTGTTTTTTGTCATGCTCTCCTGCTGTCTGCTCATCCATCCATCCATCACTTATTTTTCCCCTCCCTCAGTTGAACACGTTCCTGTACCTTGACATGGGGACTTGAACCAATCATATTGAGTCATTTTCCTCGCCAATCCAAGTCCTGCTTCTTCATTGACTTGTACCCGGCAAGGCCACACTCTCTTAATGCATCCTCTGGCACCAAGCTATGACAAATAATCCTATTCATCCAACAAGTTTATAATATACACTCTCTGTCATCTCTGACAACCACAAGGCACTTTGAACCAAAACAGAGACTACGCCCCAAATGGCACCCTATTCCCTATATAGTGCGCTACTTTTGACCAGAGCAATTTGACCAAAACAGAGTGTACGTCGAAATTAGTGCACTACATAGGGAATAGGGTGTCATTTCCCTTCCCTTTTCATCATCCAGACTGAACCAGATCATCATGGAGGTGAGTTAAGACCAGAGTAATGCCAGTACAGTGTGTGACGGGCATGGGACTGGCGTGACCTTATATGGACTCATACTATACACTGTTAGGACTGAGGAGTCCGTGAAGAAGGACTCTGAGCTGAAGCCAATGAAGCCATGCCTCGCTGCCTTTCCACTGCCTGAGTCAGCGGATGTTTGTGTGTGTCATGCAGTCCCGTGCCCCAGACACTTCTGCTGTGTTAAAGGTCAACTCCTGTCTCCTGCACAGTGTAAGACCCAGCCAGTGACCCACGCAGACATCTAAAGATAGCCTGTTGTTTCGAGCGAATCAGAAGTCAGAACCGTGACCTAGATACGTATAACACTGGCGAAGAGCTGCAGGATTTAAAGGTGGGATTGGGAAACGGTTTAGGGCGAGTGCCAACTGGTACTCTTAGCTGTAGATTGTTCTGATAGTATCTCTGTAGAAGAACGGTAACACTGATTACACTGGTGTTGTATGTAGTATCTGGTAACGAAATGGAAGCACCACTTGAGCATGATTATGCTGCTTAATTATGATTATGTATGATAATGACTATGTATCATTACCGTCCATTTGTGACCTCGACACCATGGTTAAGAGAATGATCACTGATGTGTTAATGGTAATGGGTATACAGTATATGGTACGATAGTGATCATATGACTAGAGAAGTGAGCGAACACAATTCTAATGTTGTGAATGGAGACAGTGATGGTCAAAGACCCTAGAGTAGAGTACTGTTGACAGACTAGGATCAAATCGATCATCATTATCTCACAATTATTCCCCCAAGGACAAGTTCCTTCACAGTTTATAGACAAACACACACATCGTATTATTTCAAACAGTAAAAGTTCTTACCCTGGTGCTGCTGTATAAGGGCAGGCTGTATGCTGGAGTCTACCAGGCCTTCTGGCAGGTCCCTGAGGTACTGTTTGAACAAGCTGGCCACTGTACACACATCCGCCTCAACCAGGAAGTCCACGTCCTCACCGTTCTCCAGCCGCTGCTTAAGCCCCTCCACCGCCCGTACGTTACCATTGACCCTGAACAGACCCTCCTGATGAAGGGCTGGGGATGGAGGGGTGACAAAGGGTCAAGTTGATGGGTGACAATAATTCATTAATTAATTTGGTGGGTGCGCTTATATTCGTCCTATTTCACAAATGTACAAGTGTGTATTAATACGCGTGTGTGAATTGAAAATGACTTTTTTGCAAATCCCAACTCCCCCTGAGACACCCTCAGAGAGCGGGGTCACGGCCAGGGTCAGCCATTATCATCGGTGACCCTGGAGCAAGCAAGGTTAAGTACCTTGCTCCTCACATCAACAGATCTTTCAACTTGTCGGCACTGGGATTTGAACTAGTGACCTTTCGGTTACTGGCCCAACGCTCTAACCGTGAGGCTACCTTCTGCTGCGGCTGTGTAAATGTGTGTTATACTTTATTAACTTGGACAGCAGTTGCTGGGATTACATACCATTAACGGCATTAAGTACTGAACGTGGAACTGTTGCTCTGCTGTTGTTGTGAACAGTCTACAGGGCCACATGCAGTTGTCGAACGTTGCAGACCGAAATGCCATGACGTGATTCCTTATTCTACATGTCAGAGGCATTTTTGTTCTACATGCCATATTTATTTCGGAACGTTGCAAAACGTTGCATCCTGCTGAATGCGCCCAGACCAGTGGGCTGCAATGGCAACCCTGCAGAGAACAAATCATTTGAGCCAGAGATTGAAATGTAATTAAGAAACGCTCTTTAAAGGCACATTTTCTATTACCTAACTATAATTGTAAAAAAATAATAACCAAAGCAAAAACAAAAAAAACGATACCTTTTTCTTTGTCCACATGGCACGTGCTCCTGTCTCCCCTATTTCTTAATCACAACGACCCCCGTGACCTGAATAGACTGATTATTCAACCACACACACAATTAAACAACTATCTGCAAGGCCCAATGTATGATGTGGGTGTGGTGAGCTTGTGAGAGGGTGCCAAGTTGTCGTCCTACTGCTGTATCATAGCACTACAATGACCTCTAGTGGGGAAACAAGGGAATTACTACTAGAAGGGCTAAATGGACCATTTGATAGCAAGAGGAGAGAACAGAACCATAAGGATAAGTCTATCATGGTATGGAGCTTGTATTTGTATTTATACCAATCAAATTACACCTTTGCAGATCACAACAGCAACACATGTGATGTTAAGGAGTGTAAAATGTGGTTTTACACAACACAAAGCCTAGCCGACGAAATTGTCGCAACCCCTATTACTTGCCTGTTCAACCTCTCTTTCGTAACGTCTGAGATCCCCAGAGATTGGAAAGCTGCCGCGGTCATCCCCCTCTTCAAAGGGGGTGACACTCTAGATCCAAACTGTTACAGACCTATATCCATCATGCCCTGCCTTTCGAAAGTTTTTGAAAGCCAAGTTAACAAACAGATCACTGACAATTTCGAATCCCACCGTACCTTCTCCGCTATGCAATCCGGTTTCCGAGCTGGTCATGGGTGCACCTCAGCCACGCTCAAGGTCCTAAACGATATTATAACCACGATCGAAAATAGACAGTACTGTGCAGCCGTCTTCAACGACCTGGCCAAGGCTTTCGACTCTGTCATCCACCGCATTCTTATTGGCAGACTAAATAGCCTTGGTTTCTCAAATGACTGCCTCGCCTGGTTCACCAACTACTTCTCAGATAGAGTTCAATGTGTCAAATCGGAGGGCCTGTTGTCTGGACCTCTGGCAGTCTCTATGGGGGTGCCACAGGGTTCACTTCTTGGGCCGACTCTTTTCTCCGTGTATATCAATGATGTCGCTCTTGCTGCTGGTGACTCTCAGATCCACCTCTACGCAGACGACACCAATTTGTATACATCTGGCCCTTCATTGGACACTGTGTTAACAAACCTCCAAACGAGCTTCAATGCCATACAACACTCCTTCAGTAGCCTCCAACTGCTCTTAAACACTAGTCAAACTAAATGCATGCTCTTCAATCGAACGCTACTGGCACCCGCCCACCCGACTAGAATCACTACTCTCGACGGGTCTGACCTAGAGTATGTGGACAACTACAAATACCTAGGTGTCTGGTTAGACTGTAAACTCTCCTTCCAGACTCACATTAAGAATCTCCAATCCAAAGTTAAATCTAGAATCGGCTTCCTATTTCGCAAAAACAAAGCCTCCTTCACTCATGCTGCCAAACATGCCCTCGTAAAACTGACTATCCTACCGATCCTTGACTTCGGCGATGTCATTTACAAAATAGCCTCCAACACTCTACTCAGCAAATTGGATGTAGTCTATCACAGTGCCATCGTTTTGTCACCAAAGCCCCATATACTACCCACCATTGTGACCTGTACGCTCTTGTTGGCTGGTCCTCACGACATATTCGTTGCCAAACCCACTGGCTCCAGGCCATCTAGAAATCACTGCTAGGCAAATCCCCGCCTTATCTTAGCTCATTGGTCACCATAGCAACACCCACCCGTAGTATGCGCTCCAGCAGGTATATCTCACTGGTCATCCCCAAAGCCAACACCTCCTTTGGCCGCCATTCCTTCCAGTTCTCTGCTGCCAATGACTGGAACGAATTGCAAAAATCTCTGAAGCTGGACACTCTTATCTCCCTCACTAACTTTAAGCATCAGTTGTCAGAGCACCTTACCGATCACTGCACCTGTACACAGCCCATCTGAAATTAGCCCACTCAAATACCTCATCCCCATATTGTTATTTATTTTGCTAATTTGCACCCCAGTATCTCTATTTGCACATCATCTCTTGCGTTAATCTCTATCATTCCAGTGTTAATACTAATTGTAATTATTTTGCACTATAGCCTATTTATTGCCTTACCTCCATAACTTGCTACATTTGCACACACTGTATATATATTTTCTGTTGTATTTTTGACTTTATGTTTTGTTTTACCCCATATGTAACTCTGTGTTGTTGTTTTTATCACACTGCTTTGCTTTATCTTGGCCAGGTCGCAGTTGTAAATGAGAACTTGTTCTCAACTGGCTTACCTGGTTAAATAAAGGTTAAATAAAATAAAAAAATAAAAAAATAAAAAAAACTGTCTAATAAGTTATGATATTGACTTTTCATAATAGGAAGATAAATTCAAAATGATGTGTTATAATATGATTATCTACAAGAGTCTCGTGGCAAAGGTATTGTTGATGTTATCATGTAACAAATTGTTTTGCAATGACCTATACAAAGCGGAACTAGCTTGCATATTCTAGGCTCTTGGCCAGTGAACACAGTGACTTTGGACTGAGGGCTAACACTGTCATTGTTAACCCTGTGTTGTCTTGACAGCAATCAGGTGGGTTATTGACTCAATGACAGAGAAAGATAGCTGTGGCCATAGATACAGTATAAAGCAGTGTTCTATATCTATGGCTGTGGTTATCACAGTAGCAGCTATCACTCCCGTCTATTGACAGTGGATTTCAAGTTTATAAAATCTAGGAAATCACTGATCGTATTCATTAGTTTGTTAATAATAACAAGTTAGTCTCACTAACATCCGTACAACTACATCACAACCAAAATGGATGCACAATGACCATTACAAAATGACTGTGTATTGAAACATTAAAGACCCCCTAGCCCCTCATCTGCTCTCAACCCCCCTTGATCCCCAACCATCCCCTCAGCTCACCATGTTCTCGGAGGAACTCCACCATGCTCCGCACCACCAGGGGCACGCCATCCTTCACGAGGCCCAGCTCCCTGAGCTCCAGCAGGGACACACCGAACAGCCTGCCGCCCCTGGCCTCCACTCCTGGAGGTCCCCTGGAGGTCCCCCTCAGCATGGGCAGCTGGACCATCTTCTTCATGTCTTGCTTGATCTGCACCGCAGCCTTGTTGTGCTGGAGATAGGAACACAACAGAGAGCAGCAGTCAGCAACGGGTACTACTGGTACTGTGGGCACTGCCATGTCCGGCACCTCCATAGGGGCTGGGGATGCCCTCTTCTGCCTTGGCACAGGCCCAGAGTCAGTTAGTGTGTGGCGGGATGGAGGGACCCCTTGGAGAGGGTCACACACACACAAGCAGACTCACAGAGAGAAGCCGGGAGAGGAGAGAGAGTTTGTGTTGGGAGAGGGGAAGGAAAAGGGGAGGGGTTTGGGCTGTGTACCGGTTGCTACGACGAGGCTTTGGTTACCATGCACACCTGTGGCTGAGGGGAGGGGTGAAGGCTGAGGCGAGCAGTGAGTAAGATGAGAGCTGGCATACACATACACATACACACACACAGAAGTGGACTGCAAGCTGGCCTTGACAGCTTGGGACATATTGCTAGAAAGGAAAGAAAATTGTCTGTTGACTTTAAACCATTATACATGTAGGGCTTGTAAACCATAGAAATATCATTCATTCTGTGGGGTTCTAAGGGGGTAAACACTCCCTGATTTAAAGGCGTTATTTTCCTGTGTTTTATACAGTGCCTTCAGAAAGTATTCATACACCTTGACCTCCATTTTAAATTCAGGCTGTAACGAAACCAAATGTGGAATAAGTCAAGGGGTGTGAATCCTTTCTGAAGGCACTGTATGTACCATGTTGTGTACACATTCCTTTAAAAAATACTTCATCTATGAATTTTCAATTAGTTGTGGACACATTTTAAAAATTGTTTAGGGAACTATAATGTTAATGTAAATGGAACTGAAAAGAGATAGTAATTACTGTTACATTTTTTTAAATCAGTGGCTATACAGTGCATGTTATTGAGGCAAAAACTCATTTTCTAAATACCCATGTTAACCCATCATCCTCTGAGCGCAACCGATGTAAGCTTCTCATACTAGAGTTGGCCTGACACACACACACACACACACACACACACCTGTTACTGTGAGATAGATTAGGCCTTGTGTATACAGAGTGAGTTTACGTGTGTGTGTGTGTGTGTGTGTGTGTGTGTGTGTGTGTGTGTGTGTGTGTGTGTATGCATCAGCTGTTGGCTATCTTATCCTTTCTATGTAAACTTGCCACCTGTTCTATCTCACACTCGCCACACACACCCTCACACGCCTCACACACACTCCTTTCAGATTACTGATAGTAATGAGTAAACTCTTAGTCTAACTAACTCTTAGTCTAACTAACTCTTAGCCTAACTAAATTTGACGTTAGCACACGTAATTAAAGTAACACATTTGTTGAGTGACATCAAGGTCCAACCCCATCACAACAGTGGAGCTGCTACTCCTTATAATGGCGCCGGAGGAGATGGCTGCCGTTTTACGGGCTCCTAACCAATTATGCTATTGTGTGTGTTTTTTCGCGTTATTTGTAACTTATTTTCTACATTATGTTTCTGCCACCGTCTCTTATGACCGAAAAGAGCTTCTGGATATCAGGACAGCGATTACTGACCTTGTACTGGACGAAGATTTTTTCTTTAACGAGTCGGACGCAAAGGATTTACTTCAGACACCCGACAAGGCCCAAATCCCTGTCATTCGCAGGAGAAAGAGACAGAGATATCAGGGACGTAGGTCGGGGTGCCTTGTAAGGATCCGACGGCGAGTGGGTAATCCACCTCTACCATCAGTCCTATTAGCCAACGTACAATCATTGGATAACAAAATAGACGAGCTACGGTCACGGATACCCTACCAACGGGACATTAAAAACTGTAATATCTTATGTTTCACAGAGTCATGGCTGAACGACGACATGGATAATATACAGCTGGCGGGGTTTACGCTGCATCGGCAAGCTAGAACAGCGGCCTTCGGTAAAACAAGGGGTGGCGGTCTGTGTATATTTGTAAATAACAGCTGGTGCACAAAATCTAATATTAAGGAAGTCTCAAGGTTTTGCTCGCCTGAGTTAGAGTGTCTCATGATAAGCTGTAGACCACACTATTTACCTAGAGGTTTTATCTATATTTTTCGTAGCTGTCTATTTACCACCTCAAACCTATGCTGGCACTAAGACCGCACTCAATGAGCTGTATAAGGCCATAAGCAAACAAGAAAACGCTCATCCAGAGGCGGTGCTCCTAGTGGCTTTAATGCAGGGAAACTAAAATCAGTTTTACCTAATTTCGACCAGCATGTTAAATGTGCAACCAGAGGAAAAAAAACTCTAGACCACCTTTACTCCAAACACAGAGACACGTACAAAGCTCTACATCGCCCTCCATTTGGCAAATCTGACCATAATTCTATCCTCCTGATTCCTGCTTACAAGCAAAAACTAAAGCAGGAAGTGTCAGATAACGCAGATGCTAAGCTACAGGACTGTTTTGCTAGCACAGACTGGAATATGTTCAGGGATTCTTCCGATGGCATTGAGTACACCACATCAGTCACTGGCTTCATCAATAAGTGCATTGATGACGTCGTCCCCACAGTGACCGTACGTACATACCCCAACGAGAAGCCATGGATTACAGGCAACATCCGCACTGAGCTAAAGGGTAGAGCTGCCGCTTTCAAGGAGCGGGGACTCTAACCCGGACGCTTATAAGAAATCCCGCTATGCCCTCCGACGAACCATCAAACAGGCAAAGAGTCAATACAGGACTAAGATTTAATCGTACTACACCGGCTCCGACGCTCGTCGGATGTGGCAGGGCTTGCAAACTATTACAGACTACAAAGGGAAGCACAGTCGTGAGCTGCCCAGTGACACAAGCCTACCAGACAAGCTAAATTACTTCTATGCTCGCTTCGAGGCAAGCAACACTGAAGCATGCATGAGAGCATCAGCTGTTCCGGACGACTACAGTGGGGAGAACAAGTATTTGATACACTGCCGATTTTGCAGGTTTTCCTACTTACAAAGCATGTAGAGGTCTGTAATTTTTATCATTGGTACACTTCAACTGTGAGAGATGGAATCTAAAACAAAAATCCATGCAATAAAATGCAAATTAATTACTTAAAAATCATACAATGTGATTTTCTGGATTTTTGTTTTAGATTCCGTCTCTCACAGTTGAAGTGTACATATGATAAAAATTACAGACAAAATCGGCAGTGTATCAAATACTTGTTCTCCCCACTGTATGTGATCACGCTCTCCATAGCCGATGTGAGTAAGACCTTTAAACAGGTTAATATTCACAAGGCCGCAGGGCCAGATTGATTACCAGGACGTGTACTCCGAGCATGCGCTGACCAACTGGCAAGTGTCTTCACTGACATTTTCAACCTGACTGTAATACCAAGATGTTTCAAGCAGACCACCATAGTCCCTGTGCCCAAGAACACTAAGGTAACCTGCCTAAATAACTACTGACCCGTACCACTCACGTCTGTAGCCATGAAATGCTTTGAAAGGCTGGTCATGGCTCACATCAACACCATTATCCCAGAAACCCTAGACCCACTCCAATTTGCATACCGCCCGAACAGATCCACAGATAATACAATCTCTATTGCACTCCACACTGTCCTTTCCCACCTGGACAAAAGGAACACCTACGTGAGAATGCTATTCTTTGACTACAGCTCAGCGTTCAACACCATAGTGCCCTCAAAGCTCATCACTAAGCAAAGGACCCTGGGACTAAACACCTCCCTCTGCAACTGGATCCTGGAATTCCTGACGGGCTGCCCCCAGGTGGTAAGGGTAGGCAACAACACATCTGCCACGCTGCTCCTCAACATGGAGGCCCCTCAGGGGTGCGTGCTTAGTCCCCTCCTGTACTCCCTGTTCAGCCACGACTGCGTGGCCAAGCAAGACTCCATCACCATCATTAAGTTTGCTGACGACACAACAGTGGTCGGCCTGATCACCGACAACGATGAGACAGCCTATAGGGAGGAGGTCAGAGACCTGGCCAAAGGTGCCAGGATAACAACCTCTCCCTCAACGTGGTCAAGACAAAGGAGATGATTGTGGACTACAGGAAAAGGAGGACTGAGCACGCCCCCATTTTCATCGGTCCTGGATGGCAGGAAGCTTGGCCCCAGTGATGTACTGGGCCGTACGCACTACCCTCTGTAGTGCCTTGTGGTCTGAGGCCGAGCAGTTGCCATACCAAGTGGTGATGCAACCAGTCAGGATGCTCTCGATGGTGCAGCTGTAGAACCTTTTGAGGATCTGAGGACCCATGCCAAATCTTTTCAGTCTCCTTAGGGGGAATAGGTTTTGTCTTCACGACTGTCTTGGTGTGCTTGGACCATGTTATTTTGTTGGTGATGTGGACACCAAGGAACTTGAAGCTCTCAATCATTGTATTATGTAGTTATTAACTAGTATTCAAGTGGCTTCATAAGAAGTATAGGTCCTTAAAAACATTCTTCATGAACCTGTTAATCTAGGTAAAAAAGAACAATTATTACCCGTTCTATCTGGACACTTCTCATTTCTACTTAATGTGATTAAATATGAGTCTATGCAGGCACACAACACAGCAGCAAGCACAGCTGAACATAATGACAATACTACCACACCCTCCAGGCAAAAGCCATCACTACTCTGTCATAAAGAAAAGGGAAGCATTTAGCTATTACACTGATCTCTGCATATCCCCAAGCCATTCAACACTAGCCTGGTCCCAGATCTGTTTGTGCTCTCTTGCTATTGCAATGATCTCTGCATATCCCCAAGCCATTGAACACTAGCCTGGTCCCAGATCTGTTTGTGCTCTCTTGCTATTGGATCTCTGCATATCCCCAAGCCATTCAACACTAGCCTGGTCCCAGATCTGTTTGTGCTCTCTTGCTATTGGATCTCTGCATATCCCCAAGCCATTCAACACTAGCCTGGTCCCAGATCTGTTTGTGCTCTCTTGCTATTGCAATGATCTCTGCATATCCCCAAGCCATTCTACACTAGCCTGGTCCCAGATCTGTTTGTGCTATCTTGCCAACTCCTATGGTCAATGTCACCCACATCAGATCTGGGACCAGGCTAATTCAACACATCCATCCCACTCTAAGGCCTGATGTCACTTAACCATTTGTCTTCCACTGACTCAAACATACATCTATGATCTTAGCCTGGCTATTTGACACCCATCTCCCAGATTAGAGGTGTTAAGGAGAGGGGAGCTGTACCATG